AAAAAAAAATAAAAATAAGAATCTGTTGGGGAATGGGGGATTTCTGAAGCACTTGATCTAAAGAGACATTGTACATTGATTTGAGGGACTAGGTTGATTATGAACATTCGGATAAGCTTTACTTCTTTTTAATATTACGGGTAACAAACCATTGCATAACCTTTACAAGTCTAAAACCTCAGAAAAGCGGAAAATCCAGATAGATCACTTGACTTTGTCAGACCAATAAGAAAAGTTTGTTGGGTATGCAATTACGGACATGATATTAATCATACCAGGAAGTCCTGTGCTGTGATGTATGGGCTCGCCAAGACACGTAGATGATATAGCTTCTTCCCAATGCACCCAGGCTCTGTTTCCTCTATCTTCTTAGCAATCATGATAAATTCATTCACTGTTTCTGTTCCCATATCTAGCAGCTTGTTCAATACTTGGGGTGTTCTTTTCCCCTGGAAAGGAAAATAAAGAAAACGCCCTAATTGCACGTTTGCCTAAGGGGTGACGATCAGTAATAATCCTTCCAGAAAAGACGAACATTCCGGTACAAACAGTTCTACTGTAAAAAATAATTGCAACTAATGCATCGGAAACAGGGTTTCCGTCTAATGCCTGCAGTAGGGGATTACGATTCTCAGCATTAACCACGTCTCCTATTTTTTAACGTAAGCATGCAGTTCCAAGAAAAACCTCGGAATCGATCCCTCCAACTAAAGCGAGTAATGGAGCTTTCCTCTCATTTTCCGCAAAATTCCAATTCCACGTCAGAATCGGGTTTCTGTTCAGGGAAGTAAATTTCCTTCTCATTCTGGTTTTCCTTAATTACCTTCATTATTCAAAAATGGCTCCTTTCTATTTGAAATACTCCATTATAAATTAGATTTGATTTCGTCACGCGACTTCCACTTATCAACCCATATTTGGTGCATCCTTAACACGAAGGAGCTGTAACTTCTATTCACTGACGCGATTATTCGATACCTTCTTACTTCGTTTTATCACTTTCGGAAAATATCGCGACCCATAATCGCCTCTCTCATCTCAAGAAGAAATTGCTAGAGGAGAACGACCGAGGCTTTGACCTTTCATACTTTGATTGGTCCAGGAAGTGCGTACGGCCGGCAGCCAGGAAATGTAGATAATGTCGGTGAAGCAAGGCATCCATCGTTTCAGAGCAGTTCCGCTCCCAACGGGAAGAAGAAGTAGGGATGCTCTTCATTTCCCAAGTATCCGATTGGGAAATACGCATAAAAACATATTTCTTCTTGAGAATGAAAACCTGCCCGTTTTCCGTAGCATCACGATGTCATAATTAAGGTGATATCGGAGGCTACTGGGAGTCATCTACCATTCCGACTGTAAGCAAAACTTATCGGGTGGCATCTCTAAGGTGTCGATACGGAATGGTCCGAATGATCGAGGTTTTTCCGAGAATATTTGGAACACGCTTTTCCGTCGCGAATGAGGAAAATGATCGTTCGCTTGAACTTCGGAATTCGAATGTAGATCCCTTAGCCATGATATTTTATGAAAAAAGAATGGGAAGTTTTCGCGAATAAAGGAAATAGGAATAGAGAAAGGAAAAAAACAAACTACGGTAGTTTCTGTTTTTTTCCTTTCTCTACTTCCCGTCATTAAGTACAAGATGCAAAATCCACCAAGCTCTGAATAATGCGTAATTATTTCAAACATTCTCCAAAACAGCAGATTACACCTCTAGACTTGCATCTGTCGACGAAAGAAGCATTCACCAACCTTCAGTGCACATCGAAGCGCAGGAACGCTTGGTGTCGTTTAGAACGCACATCGTAAGCACGTTGGAGCGATGGCCAGTGTCACTATCGGAAAGAAGACAGGCCGAGGAATACGAGATGAAAGAATGAGATTCAGATGTCGAGAGATATAGACCGGTTCGAAATTCCGATGAAGTGCGACATCAGGTGTTTTCATAGATGTCGTGTCACCGAGCCGTGGGTGGTGAGGGATGCGTCCGACACTCATCTCTCATCTCGATTCATCGATTCTGTCTTCTACTGGAATCGTTTTCCAAGAAAGAATACGTTGACGTGGGTGACTTTCTCGATACCAAAGAAAATCTTTCGCAATGCCCGACAAGAACATCGTGTAATTTCCCGCTGAGATGTCTCCTTGCCATTCGGTAGAAGTTGCCCCTGACCACCTTTGCTCCAATTGGAAAACATCTGACCTGATTCTCTCGGAATGATTTTTTTTTTACTTCTTCCTTTCTTTTCGTAGTTTGGCACCATAAAAAAACGAGAGCAGCACACAGACGCAGGTGTTGCATTGCTCCCCGATAGGCATACATAAGTAACATCTCGCTAGGTTCATGTAGCACCGAGATCTTGACTCTTGCACTGCCACACCCGCCCGCTTTAGCAATATTGTAGCTTGGTTATAATCATTATTTGTTTTTACGACAGGACATGTGGCGGACACAAAAGACAACGGACCTATTACAGTACACAGAGAGGAAGCGGGTGCCCGCTTGACAATGGCACCACATCCGTATCACAGTCCCTCAGGCTGGGACACCCCTCGACGGTCCTATAGGAGGCCAAAGGGGCAGCTCACGGGTTGCCTACGGCGAACAGCACCCGCACCTCCTAGACGTGGCACACAGAGTGACCTTGATTATAACGGATTACACCAATATATCTGGGGTCTACATGGCGACTAGTTCTTGAATCCTCGCCACCACGATCTTACACACCATGATGTCATTCCTGCCGACGTGACCTATAATACTTGTGAAGATGAATGGTCAATGCTAAGTTCGCTTAGTCTTCCCCATTGTAGCAGCATAACGGTCCCTCTAATTGCGCTCGCTGCAGTCCCATGCCATAAGTGAGTTCCTGACGTCACTCACTTTCAATTTTTTTCCTAGCAATTGTGCTGCTAAAGTGAGCACGTCAAATTTTAAGGTCATTATCTCCAGCAGTTTACTCTTACGCAACAAAAGGATAAGGTCTCATTCGAATGAGCAGGGTTTCCCGTTTTACCCGCACTTGGAACGCCATCGACTGATGCATTGAACGCGGAGAAAGCACTGTTGGTGCGCGCACCACTCACTTCGCTACGCGCCTCTGTGACACAGCACTGGATAGCCCTTTCTTATTTCGTCGCTTTAGGCTAAATTCGCCATGCAATATAAGAGTTAATCTGAAAATGCCCATTTACCTAGGAATATGTTATAGTTGGTACGACACGACTTAGAATACAGCCGTCGTTCAGCGTTGTTTTCGTGGACGTTTCGGCAGATATGCGGTTATTCCCGGTTGCAGAGCAATAAAATAATTCTTAGAGAAATTCTTCGCGACTGAGACGGTCCTGCACAACGAAGGACTGCCCGCCGAACGGCTCGTAGAGGAAAAGTTGTCGGGTCACTGCCTAGCACCAGCGATCTGGATGAGCTCAGACGACGTATTGTCGATGGGTTCACAGAGATCACTCCAGATATCAGCGAAAGCATCGTTGCTTCCTACTGCCAAAGGCTGTGCTGGGGCACCCAAAATAAAGGACACGTTCATCTTTGCAAAATTTAACTTACAATTGTGTTCCTGCAATCAAGCATATAAAGGGTTCGAATTTTCTCGGAAACGAATGAAACCAGTGGCATTTACGCCATCTACCCCATCTGTATTCATACCTTATGAATGAACAAAGTTCATAGTGCAGATGAAAACCCTGTTCTTTCGAATGTGACCTTCATGAACCGAAGCGGTGCATTACGAAAGTTCTTCGAGAATCAATTCTGGGCTTTACACATGATACATGGTACAATATTCATGCATGCAGTTCATCAGATTATTAACAATAATGATAATAATAAAACAGATGACCAAACGTGAGAAATCTGTCCAGCGGGAAGGATTATTTTAAGATTTCATAATTAAGTATCACAAAAAGTAGTGTCCAAAGATATCTCTGGATTCATGGCAGGTCCCTGAAATGTCTCCTATTAGGTGTGAAGACAGTCGGAAAATCTATAGAGCTGAAACTAGTGGAGTTGTGAAAGGGAAAGGTCGGAGGAAAAAATTACACAAGGTCCAACATGTTTCCCCCCATCATCAGATCTCTATGAGAGGGAGTTGTATGAGTGTAGAGGAATTCCATGCCTTTCCGCCTCAATGGATCTTCCTGAACCAAGGGGGAAGAGTGCTTCTCAGGCTGCACCAAACAATGTCCGGGAATTGGACAACTTCCAACACCTGAAGGCGGGTCGCCTATCATATCATCCCCACGTCATAGGAGTCATATTGATAGTAACGGGGCAGGCCAAGGTATTCCATTTAACCAGCGCTCCACGGTCATCTCACTTTGGAAATGGCTGAATCATTCGCGATCATTGGTGCTGCTTTCGTTCTCGGTATCCTCCTCACAGTCTTCACTGTCCTTAAAGGAGAATAGGTGAATAAGTCCTTTATATGTCGGAAGCTGTGGGCAGCAGAGCAGGAAGAGGGGAAATGCAACTTACCGAGATTACCGGACACCGAGGTACTGCAGCATCCACTTCATCTCGTCATCAACCATATCCAAAGGGGGATCCTTGAAGAGGGCAAAAGCATCATCCATGTAGGGCTTGATGTCAACTTTCTCCTTTTTCAACTTATGTTATTACATAAATGTATCCAAATGCTCCACAAAGTGGGCCTTCTTTCTCGAATCGTCTGGTAAACTTACCTTGACGTGCCGCTACATACCTTCAATAGTGCTCGTATGAGATCGGTACTCTGACGAACTCTAGTGTGTGGTTCACAGTCAGGTGTCTGAAAGCTTCGCTTTTTCAGATCTAATTATATCCAGCCCAACAGTCATTACCGTTGTTCCAGGATGAACCCAGATCCGGATGAGGCGGAGTAGCATCTTCGCATTCCTCTCTTTGACGGGAACGAGGAAAAAACCTTCCTGTTTCCCGTTTCACGCCTCCAGAAATCCATTTGACCCTCGACCCCCGGAGGCATTTCCTTCAGCCGAATTTACTTTCGTCCAACTCAACAATTTTCCTTCTTTCTCCTTTCCAAGTGCATTTTTTCGAGACAAACCTGCGATGAAGGATAATTATTTATATGCAAATTAATTCACCCAAACACTGTTAAGGAAAGCCGTGACATGCCCGTAGAAAGGCTCACCTCTCTACAGAATGAAGCCCAGTCGACGACTGTCCTGGAGGAGACTCCGGTTTTGTGGACGAAATATTCCAGGGGGAAGTCATGAATCCAGAGATACGCGACATGCAAAATGTTCATCAATCTAAGATTAGAATTTGGATAGAAAGAATCATTTCTGACAGAAAGAAACCCATCGCATCTTACCTTCTTTCATCCGCTCCGCGTCCTTTTAGCAGCGGAAGGCAACTCCATCGCCGATCCTCGAGAAAGCACTCATGGTTGTGGGTTCTTCACATTTGGGGCGCGTCCTGCTTTCCGCTTTCTGGAGCCATCTGGGTCTCACAATTTCATTGAGCAGGTCGGGAGCTGCAATATCGTCATTAGCGGACTAAGTTCTTTATGCAATACGTCCATCTGCACGTTACACAATGAAGAATAAGCAAAACAGTTCGACCTTGGGACAATTTGACACATGCCAGAAAAGCCACTGGTGAATGAAGTAACAAATATAGCTCCCTTCTTTTGACAGAATTCGGGCCAAAGCATACGAAACCATCAAACACGATGTTCAAGCAATATGGTTTATGGTAGTGCTTACTACTCCGTGACAACAAATATGGGCACGAAATTCACTTGAATTTGTGGCATTACTTACGTTCCACATTTCCTAAAGAATCTATAGTCCTGGTGATCCATTTTTCAA